ATTTATTAGCAACAGGAACACAAAATAAATTAATACAATGTTCCAGCCTCAAATGCTTGTCATGTTAACAAAACTAAGGGAATGTCTCAATCTAAAGGTGCAAAATAACAGACACTCTGCTAAGGGGTAATCAAAGTACATAGCAATCAACAGATATAGCATAATATAAAGCAAAATAAATCTATATATCAATAAGTAGCAAAACAAAAATTAATATAGAGATAAGAGAATTTCATACAATGTATATCAGCAACATCGAAAAGAAGAAAAGCAGAAAGCATCTGTGTCATAAAATGCTAGTTGCTCTAATCACGTGATCACACCAAGTCATGGCAACCAAAATGCTGATATATGCAAAGGACTAAATAACAAATATAACAGAGAAATGTGTATGAAGCAACATATAAACGCATGTGTGCCTGAATATGGGGACGAGGATGCCTGTAAACAGCTAATCGTAGTGTACGTAGGGCAGGGGTGTCCAAACATTTTTCAAAAAAGATTTGATGAAGTGAACATGAGTGAGGGCCGACCATTTTGCCTGACATCATTTGAACCATTAAAATTAAATGCAAATAACTTTTTTATGCAAAGTTTATTGCAAACGGCATACTTTTCATTTCGTCACTTATTTTTCATATTCTGTCTCAGATCTCTTTATTCTTTCACCACACTGATCTCTTTAGTCTGCCCCTTCTTTATTCTGTCTCTTCTCTCTTTTGTCTGTCACAAATCTCAGTATTCTGTCCCTCTCTCTTTATTCTGTCCCTTCTCTCTTTCGTCTGTCCCTTCTCTCTTTCGTCTGTCCCTTCTCTCTTTCGTCTGTCCCTTCTCTCTTTCGTCTGTCCCTTCTCTCTTTCGTCTGTCCCTTCTCTCTTTCGTCTGTCCCTTCTCTCTTTCGTCTGTCCCTTCTCTCTTTATTCTGTCCCTTCTCTCTCTGTCCCAGATCTCTTTCTGTGAAGGCGCCAAATCCTGCGACGTCTACGAGATCACGCAACGTCCAAGAGATCCCGACTGAGGACATGCAGTCCCCCAGTGTTCAAAGATCCAGAAAATCTCTGGATCCTTGAACGCCACGGGACTGCACATCCTCAGTGGCGCTCGGGGTTTCCCTGGGGGCCACAACATATAGATAACAAATTACCTGTGGGGCCGTATTGAACCGGAACGCTGGCCACAATTGGTCCGCGGGCCGGACTTTAGACATGACTGACGTAAGGACTAATCCTGCACAATAATCATGCAGCTAAAACTAAAATAAAATTAAGTTTATAAATTACTGTATTCCCAGCATATAATGTATGAGACCCCTGTTAATTAATATGTATTAATATCAATCCTAGAAATAGCTCGGAGAATAAACTGAAAATCCCCAAACTGAATGTACAATAGGTTTACGTGCAGTCACAACTGTAACGTGTATGGTACAAAATGACAAGTCAAAAAAGGGGGTGGAATGCAACAGATTTGTATGTATACACTGGCACTAGCCATAGGGGGAGAAAATGTATTAAAAATGTGGGTTTGGGAGCCTGTGTCCATGTTTGTTATTTTTAGGAGCTTGCTTCTACGTTCCCCTTGTATTTTGGACTGTGTCTGGCATACTTTCAGACACCCAACTGCATCTTCATTTAGAAGTATCAGAAATTAGAAAATAAATACTGGTTACTCATCTTTGACTATTTGTGAACTATTTAGGTCCGTGCGAATGTTAGAATTGTTATCTGTTCTGCTCATCTCTATTGTCAGCAATGCTTAATTCAGGAAAAAAATGTTTTTTGTCTTCTTTCCTCATAGAATAACAAGCCTTTGTATTCATTCGAAGACAACGCAGACTACGTATATGATGTCATGTGGTCTCCAACCCATCCAGCCCTATTTGCTTGTGTAGATGGAGTGGGGAGACTGGACCTGTGGAATCTCAATAATGATACAGAGGTAAGACGATGCTCGTCAGATCTCCTGCACCTCTTTCCATAGCTAGACTTTGCGGAGTCAGAGAATTCAGGTAGAGACAGTAAATTGGTATGATGCAGCTAATAAGCACGTTCAACAACTTAAATTGTGCGGATGATGGCTCTTCCTGACAATGAAAAGGATAGTAACAATTAAAGTTAGGAATATGTAGACATTCTGCATTTCCAGTCAGCGTTTGCGTAAAAACACAGGCATTTACTGCTGTTTATGCACAAACTAGCTCTCCCTGTATGATTGCTATAGATCCCTATCAATGCAGTGAATGCTAAGTGTAATGTGTGCGATAGCTGAACTTAAGTGACCGTACATTAGATGATTTGGAGAAACACATTTGTAAATTCTAATCAGTGTAATTATCTGCTTTTAGTTATGTTTTCATTTGTTTTTTTTAAGTTGATGGGAAAGTCTCACAGGAGAGCTGAGATTTGCTTTTACTGATGCTGGCTCTAAGTAACCAACCTACACCAGATAAAGGTTATCAGTTTTGGGAAATGTCCAGAAATTGAAGAAATATTGTGATGGTCATAATAGAATTTGCATATAAGGCAAACATTTCACTTGTATAAAGGATAAAAATGCTTGTTAGGAAGCCTGTAACATTTCTGATGACTTTGAGGGGCTCTCAAAACCTCAACAAGCCTATAGGGCTTGAAATGTAATAACCGCTCTGCAGTATCAGGTTCTTGGCGGTAAATAAAAAAAATAAAAAAAATTCATTTTTTTTTTTTTTTGTTCAAATGAATGAATATGTCAATTTTAAGCTGGAGTTGTTCTTTATAAGACCCTTATTGCATGGGAATTCCATATGAATTAACACAGTCAGGCCTTTGTTCTGACTTTGCATGATTTATATGTTGTTTTTTTGGTTTAGCTTTTAATCAACTCTGCAGAATGTTTCTCCTGCCTAATTCATACAGGATGATAATCCATTGACTGTTAGAAGCATGAACAACAAATTGTAGGCGTGATTTGCAAAACTGTGTTGGTCATCTTTTGTAGCCCCCCTCTTCTGTGTGCTGGGCCTCACCTGATGTGACTGTATCAGAACGTGTATCTCCATCATATTGAATAAATGGAATCGTTTTTTTTCCAGATTATGTGACTTTATCTTGTATTAACAGGTGCCTACTGCCAGCATCAATGTGGATGGCAACCCTGCCCTTAATCGGGTGAGATGGACCCATTCTGGCAGAGAGATTGCCGTGGGAGATTCGGAGGGACAGATCTTTATATATGACGTGGGGGAGGTATGTGCTTTTGATTTTATTTATTTTAATTATGTATGAGGTTTGTAAGCCTTTCAGGGACTTTTTTTTTTAATTAGTTTTTATTTTGCATGTTTTCAATATTCCTACAAGTAATGTGTTCAAAGAAATTCTCCCATTTATCAAGGTAGTAAATGGCATATTAATCATGATTTGGGATGATTTATCTCTTGATTTGCTCACATAATTTGGGATGATTTATGTTATGAGTGGACTGGGTCAGCAGGTTACTGTGAGACTCAGTTTAGATGTATCTTCAAACAGTTAACTGTGTTCCTAAAATGTTCTGTGGGTATTTGCACTTCAGTACTTCATATGTAGCAATAGAAACAGAAAAGCTACTGGAATCTAGGACCCAGGATTTGGGATGTCCACTTCTCATTAGTTTTTTCCTGTCTCAAATTGCTCCCAAAACGGACAGTGTTATCATTATAAAGTTCAACCTGTTGCGTGTACATCACCGAATGCTTTATTCCAACAGCAAATTTCTGTGCCTCGCAATGATGAATGGACGCGGTTTGCCAGAACCCTTGCCGAGATTAATGCCAACCGGGCAGATGCAGAAGAGGAAGCGGCAAACCGCATACCTGGGTAGACATCGGCAAGCAGGGAGATCGGCATTAAATTATCATACCTTCCAATGCACTAGCATGTACCTGTTCAAAAGATAATTCAAAAGGAGACATATACGTGATAGGATTCTTTGGACGACAGCAATTTATAAACCTTGTTTCAAACCAATCCAGTGTCCCGTTTTATTTATATGTACTTACACCTGGCCCATGGCTGTGTAACAGGACAACGTTCCCCTACGCTCGCTGAGGCTGTCAAGACCTGGTTTATATCTTTGTTGAAGAAACTGTTAAGTGTTTTTTTCCACTTAAAATGGTTTAACTTGCTAACGCAAACCTGACGTTTATTTTTCAATTTAATTTGTTATTCCTCAGGATAAAACTGTCGCATTAGGGCTCAGTCTTTAAAGCATATCTAATGTTCTAGATCTTACATTAAATCACATCTAACCGCATGCAAGCATCTTCTGTAGACATCTTACATTTGTAGCTTTTATGTTAAAGCTGTTAGTAGTTTGTCATTTTATTAAAAGGAAACCTTTCTAACTTGTCATTTCCAATTTATTGCAAAATTCTGTCTGTGTTGTGTCTAGTGAATTTAGTAAAAAAAAAAAAAAAAAAAAAATTCTGTTTAAAAATGTAATCTGAACTTTATTATATATTGCGGTGCAAGGCTGTATCTACGTGTAGATTGCTGCTTTAAATGCACACACTACCCACCACCTTGAGTAGAAAGTGTACAGAAATCGTTATTTTAGCTGTGGTGTCGATTATATTACTTTTCTATACAATAAATTGTATCATAAACAGCAGTTCCTATAAAATAATCCTGTTAATTGTAATTACGTTTTTGCTTATTTATTAACCATTTTCAGTATCTGGTTTAAATGTACGGTGTCCATTGAAAACAAATAGGTTATGTATAATTGTTTAATTCAAGGAGGTAAACTGAATTGATGAACCTGAACCACATGCCAACAAAACTGGTGGAAATATAAGGGCATGTTGGCATGTGCTTTAAAGCACAAGGGGGTGAGGTAGGTGTCTGACCTACTTTAATGAACATACAGACAAAACTGACTATAAAAAAGAATGTTACTTAAAAGAACATTACAATGGAAACTACATTTAAATTATATTATACATATATAAGATTTTATTTTTTTTAACAATTTAGTAGCTTTACCTTGAATGAAAACATGCATGTTTTTATGCATTTTTTAAATTCATGGGTATATCTAAAAGCATTTTGCAAAAGCTTCAGCTCTTTTGTCTTTAAATTTTAAGTCCTCCCCTTCTGACCCCACCTAGACTTTCTGTGGCTGACCAATCACAGATCACCCAATGCAGCACAATGAAAAAGTCTTTACAAGGCAGGTGCTCTGGGCAATCGCTGCCTCTTCAGGTCAACTCCACTCAGCTAACCAAATCAGGAAGTAGCAGGACCTGTTGTCTGATGTTACTTTCACGTTGCTGTCAAAATTGAAACTTGCACGTTTTGTAAAAAGAAAAGGAGGAAACACTCAAAGCCAAGTCCCTTTAAACTGAATCCAAAATTCACTTTTCGGGATAAATTAAACTTGCTATACATGGCTTATAATGTCAGAGTAATGGATTTACTTCTCTTTAAGTGTTAAGGGAAAAAAATACTTTGAAAATTTCTCTTTGAAAGATCCATTGTAATATTGTCAATAAAAACAGATGTGTAGCAATTAATTTGTGATTGGCCATGCCAACAATTTTCTCTTCTCGCCAAGTTAACTAGTGACACTACTGAACATAGTGCTCCATCAATACAATCGGACATGTGATTGCCAGTAATAAGTGTAAACTAACATGTTAACAGCAATATCTACAACATTCAGCTTAATATAAACCATGTTTCACACAATATTAAACTAGACATGCCAAGTCTTGTAAATGCTGAAGTTGTTATAAGTATTGAATTCTCATTAAGTGGTTATCAACTTGGCAATGAACTTCAGAATTAATGATAAACTCCTATTTATCCACATCTGTAAATGTGCCCAGCCTACTGTAATGGACACGTTGTGATATAGTGCCTGTGCATTTTAATTCCCACCCCCAGGGAAGGGGGATGCTGAGAATATTACTCTTTGTATTTGTCTTCAAAAGGCTTGGAAACCAGATTCTCTAGACACTTATGTTTTGGGACTCGTGATGTATACGATAAAATCACGAGAGCATGCATGAAGTAAGAATGTGGGTGGTATGCATATCATGCGTGATGTAATCTTGGCAGACATACTCCAGCTGTTATAAGCAGCAAATGTGTATTCATCATTACCTACTTTAATAGCACGAGAAATCTCTGCTCATCCCATTGCATGACAGTATCAGGAACGGAAAATTAATTTCATAGTCAAGGCCAAAATAGCTGAATTAAAACTGTTGGCTTTTTCCAGTTCAAAATTAACAATTCACACTTTTGTAAATATCCATGGTGGTCTCCACTTCTTGTATAAAGAATTATTCAATAACTAGCAAAATCCAGTAGGCATTTGTTTTTAAAGCTAAAGTAGTCCAGTTGTGACTAGAGTTGAGCCAGATAATTTGTCAATTTTTGCATTATTAGAGAGGGGGGAGGGGTTAGTAAATGGCCTTTTTTAATTAAACAAAAAAAAAAAAGTAGGTATTTCAGTTCAGTAGTTACAAAAAAAAAAAAAACTTCATAGGTAAAATAAAACACTTTTATATATTACACACACGTTTCCCGGAGATGATCAGGAAGCTATCAATAGAAAAATTTCTCTGATATAAAAAAAATAAATAAAAAAAATCAAATATTACAGCAGATTCCATTCCATCGATGGCTGAGTGAATTTATCCCGAGGTGAAATGTAATGTGCTGTGGAATTGAAAAGACATGTTATATTATATTACTTCTGCCGGTACGTGCGGCTCAGCAGGAATTCATTCTGTAATGGTGTGGACATGTTACCCAGCGTTTCGCACATCATGCCAGTTACATCAAATTGGATACTGATACAACTCGCACAGAAAATCTTACTCTGTCAGAAAGCACCCCCTTTTTTGTGCCCCTTAAAGAATATGGGTTAACACAACTGTGCATTGTTGTTTTTTTTTTTTTTTTTTTAAGATATTGTGGAAATAGATTAGTGTTTTTAATTCCCCTCCCCCAATATTTCCTAATGGTAAACTGCTGTGATTAATTGAAAGTATAGTTATTATATTTGTCATTGTGTTTAAATGAAATACTTTGATCTGGGGTCTCAGCATGACATTGTACATCGCAAGTGGACCTTGCATAATAGCGTGGACATCTCTCATTGTCATGTAAAAGGCTTTAATTCATTTCACTTAGAGAAATACCAATGTTTATAAGGAATGCTACACTGATTATATATCTTGTTTCCCAGAGCAAGCATGAATTAAAATGTGTTAAATAATCTGGTCTTTTACTAAAAGAATGTGTTGACCCTGCTCACGGGCCATCTACCTATGCACTTTGTATAAAAGAGCTTAAATGGCAAGATTTCAGCTTACGGACAGGGCACTCTCTACCTTTTGTATTTGTGTGTGTATTGTATGTTCTCCACTAATTGTACAGCACTGCGGAATCTGTTGGCGCTTTATAAATACCAGTAATAATAACAGAACATGCAACCCTGACACTAGAAGATTATTTTCTTGTAATAGAGTAGGTATTTATGTGTATCTAGTGTCCATAAGTGGTGTTTCTGTCCCCATTTGAGATCAGTAAGGACTGACCAATGCAAATAGTTCACTCGTCATATAAGTTAGTCTGCGTCAAGTGACTAGTTAATCTTGGGAGATATAGATCTAGGTACGTTCTAGATTAGTGTGGCTGAGCCAACTGTTATGATTTGGCTTCTAATGGTACGGAATTCACAGTTCTTGTGTTTCACATGCTTTTATGTATAGATGTCGGAATTAACATGTAATTTACCCATATAAATCAGGTGATTTGGATGGAATAGCAATGTCTTTGAACGTGAAGTGCACGTAACCTGAGAAACCTAGTGAAATCCATAGATTTCAACTCACACTGCTCGTGACTTTTGCATGAGAATTGCATGAATTTCGCTCACTCTCAAAATGTAGCACACAAACAGCTTAAACATTGTGGATTTTATCATAGACTCAAATCTCCTTCGCAATATCACTCATTATGTGGGTGATAATTTCTGCCTAGCAGAATTACACTTAGGGCTAAACATCACCAAAAGTCCCAGATTTAAAATTTTACAACCGGTCTGTGCTGCAGGTGGTTGCAATGAAACTTCATATCACTTTTGCATGTATTTTGCTACTGAGAAATGTTTGTGACCGTTTCAAGGGTTATTTCCTAAAAACTCTTCCAGTTCAAATATCGTGACCTTAAATTTGAAATTCACTTTAAAATCCTGACCGTTTTCAGTTTAGTAAATTCTTCAAGATGATAAGGATCACAGCAGACATCCTGCAGGCCAACTGATAAAGTTCACAGCACACATGGTACAGGCCAAATTTTAATTGTAAGTCCCAAAAGATAAGCACTACTCCGCACAAACATGGCTAATCCTCTAAGTCAGAAAAACAGAAAAATATGAAAAAAGTGCACTCATTACTGCAGGTTGTACAGGTATGACACATTGTACAAACTACATGGTGTGTTAAGGTGGCATAGGTTTACAAATAGAAGCAGCAAACTTAGAGAAAAAAAACAAACATGAGATAGCACCAAGGGGGTGCGAAAAGTGTCCAGGGATTTATTACTCGGGTAGCTGTGTGGGTGGTCTCTCCCCTGCCTGGCAGCTGCAGGTAGTGCTGTTTTTCGATATTTTTTTTTTTAATTATTTTCTCATTTTCTGCCTGTTTGCTGCTTATATTTGAAAACCTATGCCACCTTAACACCATATAGTTTGTACGATATGTCATACCTGTACAACCTGCAGTAACGAGGGCTGCCATGACAGATTGATGCCATATACTTATAGTCTACATATATTGTTTTCTTTAAAAAAAAAAAAAAAGGCCCTTTTTTTTTCTTCATATTTCCGTTTTTCTCTGTGACTTCTTTTGAGGATTACCCATGTTTGTGTGGACTATTGTTTACCTTTTAGGACTTATTGTTTAACATTGGGAAAAGTCCAGCACCACGGTTACATCTCATTGCATGATTTAAAAAAATCTGAATCACGACTGGAACATTCCTCCATTTTTTCTTATTTTACTCAGAGATGCAGCAACCCTTGTGAATGGGATGACATACCACATTGGCTAATCTATTTTACATCCAATCTGAATTGTGTTTGAGCAGGATTTGGGGTGGTATGTAGGTTGTAACATATCAAGCCTATGACCACAGAAAAGTCCAGTTAGCAAAGTGAAAATTTTGAACCTGATAGATGCATGCAATGATAAGACTTTGCAAACAAGAAAATACATTTGATTCCATGTTGATCACTCCCACCTGCCACATCAACATGTGAGATGTTTTCTCGGGTATTTTAAAGCATTTCAAGAATCTGAAAATTGCATAGATTAGACTTAATGACTGGATCCCCAACCAACACAAGGACATCGTGAGTGATGAGGCAAGATCCTGTATTAAGGCTGGATTGGATAGACAGCGTTAATTACTAAAAGTGTGAATTTTGAATTTTAGGTCAACTAGCCAAAATGAAAAAATTACTTTGACCTAACATTTGAAATTCACATTGCGTTCCTGACAATTCATTCTTTAGTGATAAGGTAGGCCAGGTGACAGATAAGTTCAAGCCCAAATAAAGAAGCAATGATAAAATAAAATGGGACCAGCACATCTCACTGACAACTTTAAGGACTATTGGCAGCGGTAGGGGAAAGGTCTCTTGTGAGAGATCAATGCTCCTATTCGTAATGGGAGATATATCCACAAAATGCCTTGGCTTGTGAATGACCGCTGGAAGTTGCCATTGAGGGTCTTGAAGTATCAGCTCCTTCATAGTGATCTAAAGAAGGTCCACATAATCTCCATGGAGGCGTCCTCATTTGTATATGGTACCGTAGTGAATGCACCTGGTCACAAGACTCAGTCAGAGCATCCAGGTGTAAGGAACAGCCTTAAAGTTAAAAGTCTCGAGGATGAGGAATTTGTTTGAGTGTGTCCTGAACGCTTAGAACAGCTGTAACAATTCTTTTAAACTCTAATATATTAACAATAAGAATTTCTGAACATGCTATAGTATTTAACATTCTCCAGTACTTAAAAAGGCTTATTTAACAGCAGGGGGAAAAAAGTAACCAACACAAATCAAACATTGATTATTTATTTCCATAAAATACATCAAAATGAGTAAATGAATCAACATAATACATTAAATTGTCCCCAGACGGGGGAGTAAAATACCTCCTATATGTCCTGTACACGTTTTGCCACTGTGCGCTTGTAACATTGCTTGTATGTGTGTGCCGTGATGTGCCTGTACAGATGTACAATATGTACAGTAACATAAACCCTTTCACTGCCGGGGGAGGGAGAGTGAGCTTTGCATTTTAAGGCGTTGCTTTCCCCAGCGGCACTTAAAGGGTTAAGTGCAAAGTTTGTGTAACGCAAGCTCAGAAGAAGAGAAAATTAAAAAAAAATACATGCTCTCCTTTAAAAAAAAAAACGTACATTCTATAAGCTGAAATTAAACTAATCTCTTCTGTGCAAACAAATGATTCGTCTCTGAACAAATTAATATATTATATAGAAATAACTTAACACAAGCAGCTCTGATAAACCCACATGCAGAAAGACCAGATACGCTATTATACCGTGTAGCTTCTTTTAAATACTGTGTATATTGCACTCCTGGCGTGGTCGGCATATTGCCTCCAACTTATGCACCTGGTGTGACCTTGGCTTGTGGGGGAGGTACGACAGGAGATCTAAACTTTGGCAGGTAAAGGCCAAATTTGTTCTCTATTCCAGCAAATGTTGCAGTGGCCAGTCTGTAACCACCGATGTGGTCGGCGTTTGCTGGAGGAAGATCAGAGATTCGGGTCTTTGGCGCTGGCTCTGAACCCGCAGGTTTTCTGAAAAGATACAAACGGTAATGAAAGACAAGTTAACCCGTGCAAACAGACTACAATTTCAATAATTTTCATATGCACTAATCATGGACCCCTGCAGTGTAAAAGTTAAGGGCTTTATAGCTAATGCTGGATTTATATTTCAGAATTTCTCTGAAAACCATAAATTCTATAAACAAATCCAGTTCTCTCTTCCTTGCTTCATGATTTGGCGGAGGTATTAGAGGTCCAGTTAGTACATCTCTCTCAATATGCAATACCTGTGTTGCAAATCTAAATATTCAAACAAATGTAAAAAGGTCAGGAAGACAAGCACCTCTAGGCATTTGCCTACTCTGTCTGATCATAGCACTGCAACATCGTCAAGGAAATAATGAGAATAATATCAAATTATTAATAGAGTTTTAAAATACACCATTCACTCTTACTTCCTGGGGATTAACAGAATATATAAAATACAAATCACATCCATATTTTTCTTTTGCTTGAATATCAGCATTCTAGATTAAGAGGATAATATATTACAGAGACTGAGCATATCCAACATAGCGGTTTGATAACACTTAAAGGGACTCTCCAGTGCCAGGAAAACAAACCTGTCTCCCTGGCACTGCAGAATTCTGCAGTGCCGCCCCCCATC